GGGGGCGCGGGAAAATTTTTTTGCTTGGGGCCGCAAAAAACTTGGAGCCAGCCCTGGTTGTCCCGTGTGGGCTCAGTTGTGCCACTGTCCTGGTGTTACCCCATCCCATCCCATCGAGTTTATTGGTCGGCTCCCAGGAACCCGGGCCGTGTTGATGGGGTGGCGGGCCTGGGACGGGCGTTGGGAGGATGCCTGGTGGTGCCAGGCCGCCGGCCGCCCCTGACTCCTCTCCTCTCTCTTCTTTCCAGGCCTATTCTCAGGATGCCTACTTGAAGGGCAATGAACCCTACTCCGGGGGAGCCCAGAGCATCCCGGAGCCACCTCCCGTCTGTTACCCTCGGAAGACCTACCCGTTCCAGTCCAGGGCTCCCAGCCGGGAGGCGATGGTAGCCGAGCCTTTGCAGGGACAGCAGGCGGACGGCAGATCCTACCGGCCTGCTCCTTCAGGCCCATCTTCCCCCTTGAACAGCGCGGCACTCAGCAGCTCCATGCCCAGCACGTGGAACGAGGCCAGAAGCGACGCCGCTCGGGAGATCGGCAGCACCCATTCCAGCCCGGCCCACCGCACAGAGGAGATCCAGTATGGAATGACCCAGCCGAGGCCCGGGATGCCCGTCGCAAGGCCGGTCCCAGCCCCCGGCTCCTTCTCACGCGTCTCCAACACCAGCTTCGCAGGTCCCCTTGCTTCTTCCTTGCCAGAGAGGTACGGCGTCCCGACTGCTTCCTCCATGGCCAGCCAGGCCTGCTACGGGGTCCCCAGGCACCTCCCAGACCATCGGACTCACTGCGGTTTCAAGGATGGCCGGGATGTTAGCATGGGGCCTGGCGGCCCGGGCCGTCCCTCCTGGGAGTATCTGGGCGGCCCCAAGGCCGTCAGCCGGCTGGAGTGCCAGCAGGCGCTCTCCAACTGGCTGTCCAGCCAGGTGCCACGCCGGAGCGCCTCGGAAGAGCGGAGGTACGCCATGCCGCCCCGGTACCGCAGCGTCTCTCAGGACCGCCTGGGAGACACCCCGGCCTCCAGAGGCTGGCCCCACAGTGCCTCGCAAGACACCTTGCTGCAGCCCAGCCACGACAGCTGGGGCTACCGGGCCCGGTCCGACAACTCCCTGGGGAGGTACGGGCGCTCCATGGAGGCGCTGGAGCAGAGCGCCCTGGTCTCGCCCCGCTTGGACAAGTGCACGTGGCTGCCGGAGAAGTTCTATAGGCCGGGCCCCGGGCAAGTTGCCCGAGCTCAGCCTAGCCAGCCAAGTTCGTACGCCCCCTCCTGCTCCTCTAGAGAGCCTCCCCCCGCCCACGTGCAGAAACACCCTTCCCAGCCCAACCTGCAGAGCGTCGACGACTCGGGGTACATTGGGTATAGGAGCTACAGCCCCTCCTTCCAGCGCAGGACTGGCCTACTGCACGCACTCTCCTTCAGGGACCCTATCTTTGGTGGCCTTCCAGTGTTCAATATATCGCAAAGGCAAGGAACTCAACCAGCACCTTACCCGGACAGGTCCCCGTCACTGCCAGTTGCCGCCCCCCCTGGCCCGGAGCCCCCGCCGGGCAGTGGGCCCGAGATTCCCAAGGACCAAAGAACCCCCAGCCAAGACAGCGGCGCCAGGTCTCTCCAGCCGCCTCTGCCTCGGCCCGAGGCGGAGGAGAGGAAAGAAGAGGTGGTCCTCAGGCAGAAGCCCCCCACGGGCCGCAAGGCGCCGGCCCCCGCCAGGCAGATGAACTTCATCTTCCCCGACCACATGAAGGAAACGGACATTTGTGACCCGCCGCTGAGCTGCAAAGGGGACAAGCCGGCGGCGGAGCGGCCCGCCCGGCGGGTGGCACCATTGGCAGTGCCAGAGGATTCCCTGGCATCCATTCCATTTATAGGTGAGGGGGCCAGTGTTTGGGAACGCCAGGCGCTGGGGTGTGTTTGTGGGGGTCTCACAGCTGCGTATCGAGCCAGGGAGCATCTCGCCTTGCCAGGGATCCCCCCGGGGCGGGACGTGGCCTCGGTTGCAGGGTAATGGACGCTGCGGAGAAGGCATCGCCCGCTGGTAATGACGTGTCCCCGCTGGGTCTGATCCGCAGAGGGTACAGGCCTGTTAAAGGCCCACTGACAGAGTCCTGGCTCTTTAGCTCAAGCTGTAGCCCGTCCTGCCTTTCGCTCCAAAGGTCCCTGGTTCGATCCCTGGGGCATCAGCCAACACAGCAGCTGGTGCACAGGCAGATCCGACTGTAGGCTGGGCAGGTGCAAACGGTCACAGTGAAGCCAGGTGCAGCCACCTGCTTGGACGAGTGTGTCTGGTTTGGAGACGCACATTCACGGCAGCAGCCGGGGGAGTAGCAGGCAGCCACGGGCCTCTTCTTGCCAACGCACCATGGATGTGCTAGGTGGTCCCGGAGATCAGGAGAGCAAAGGGGCAGAGACATCGGGGTGGAAAGAAGGGGGTGAAGAAGGGTGGCAAGGGGCCGGGTGGGCCATTGCCCTGGTCTCGTGGTAGCCCACTGTGGTCATCCAGACAGTCAGGTCAGGCCCAAAGCAGAGCTTGTCCTTGCAGGCAGCGAAGCCCCGGGGGGCCATGGGGAGGAAGTCTCCAGCTTGGGGTAGGGAGAAGGGGTCCCCAGTCCGTCCAGTGGCGGAAGGGGCCTGGCCCCTGAGATCCCGTGACTGCTGTTGTCCCTGTGCGCAGCGGGGAGGCTGGGACCGTCCCCTAACCTGCCTTAAAGCTGGGCGCCGGCCTCGGACGGCCGAACGGTCAATCAAGGTGGCCTCTGATTGTCCCATTGCCCCTTCCACACGCTGTTGGACGCGGCACACCCGCGAGCACCCCTCTCCCCAGCACCCTGCAGGTGGAGCTGCTTACAGGGGCTTGGTAGGGTCTGGCCTTATTTGCTGTCGGCGAAAGGTGCCTGCCTGGCAACCCCTGAGGCTGAATGCCATCAGCTGGCTGCCAGAGAGGCAGGGGGGCGGGCACTGCCCTGAACAGGCCATTCCCCCAACATGGAGAATCCTGCCTCTCTGGGTGCTGCGGACCTGGGCTGAGCCTCGCTGTCTGGTTGTGCTAGATTCAGACTAGCTAACCAGAGGCCAAAGGCTTCGTCTCCTGTTTCTGGTCTCCTGTGCCATCCGATTCCTCTGCGCTGCACCGGGAGGGGGCTGGTCACAGGATCTCCACCCCCGTGGACAGGGCAGGGATGTGGTTAGCGAGGTGGCTGCAGCCGTCCCCGCCCGCCCAGCCCTGGCCTCCGGCTCACCAGGGCAGGCCCGGCTTCCCAGGAGTACGTCTCTCCAGCCCGGGCTTGGCAGAAAGTCTTGACAAGGCCTGCCGGTGTCCCATGCGCTCAGTGCCCGGGAATTCCCCCAGCCAACAGGCACCAGGAAAGGGAGAGGACCAGAGACCAGCTCCGCGGCCTGACTTTGGGGCCACCAGCCCTGGGGGACGGGGGACTGCTGGGGAGGCACCATCCCCCATGGCAGCGGTGGCTACCTGGTCCCTTGCTGCCCCCTGGGAGGTCACAGTAAGGGGGCTCCGACTTGCCTGGTACCCCCCTTTCCCTGCTGCTGACCGTGCCGTTTCCCCGACGCTGGTCCAGCTGCAGCCAGACCAGACACGGCCGCTCGGGGGTTTCAGGACAGGGGGGAGGTAGAGACTCCGGGGAACCTGCCGCCTTGGCGTGTCTCCTGAGCTGGGCAGGCCCAGCTGCTCGTGGGGTGACTGAGGTCTCCATGCCACCCCAGCAGCTGGTCTCTCCTGAGCACAGGCCCCGGGGAAAGGGGTCAATTCTCCTCTGCCTGCCCTGCAGCCGCTTCGTCCCCAGGCTTCCCTGGGGGGCCTGAGATGAAACCTGCCTGGGGTTCCCAGTGAGACCCCTTGGATGGGCAGCTCAGGCCCTGTAGCCTCTTTCCGCTCGCTGGGCCCCGTCATGGCCTTTCTCCCTGGCACATGCCATCTCCTCGTACCCGGGAGAGACCGCGGCACAATGGAAGCCTTACTCCGCTGCCCGCGACGTGCCCAGCCTGGCACTGGGGGACCGTTGTTCTCCACGCATTCCTCACAAGCCTGGCTATTGTTCATGTGCCCGGCCCGCCCCGCCTTTGTTCCCCTGGCCACCTTGCCTGGGGGAAGCGGCGGCACGGGGCTGCCCCGGCGCACACAGCCGCCTTGTTGGCAGCGGAGCAGGTGCATCGAGGCAGGGCCCTCTCCCCCCTTCCTCATTCCGCATGCAACCCCTCCCGCTAGTCCCCATCCCCCTGCCCCGCTCCAGCGAAGAGCAGCTGTGTGTACCTAGAACATGGCATCAAGCCCTGCCGGCACCTCCGTGACGGGATATCGGTGCCCCCCCGGCACGGACGTGCCGCCTGGGCTCTGCCTCCGCCCCAGCGAGCGCTCCCCTGGCCTGCAGCTCTCAGGGCTCCTCGGAGATGGAGGGCGGGGCTGGTTTCTCTGGCACCGGCGGCCCTGGGGGATGACCGGGGTTTGGAGGGGTGGGGGCTGCTCACTCTGGGCTGTTCCTTCCTGGGAGGGGTAAAGGGGGCTGGGGACGGCCTTTTGGGTGCCTGCTGCCGAGCCTGCACCGGGCACTGGCGCTGCCCCCACGGGAAAGGGCCCGGGCAGAGGGTCTGGAAGCCAGGGGTTCCCTGGCGCTCTGGTCCTGGGCTGCTCGCTGCAGGGGCCGCTGGCGGAGCACAGACTGCGGAGATCCCAGCCTCGCAGCAGGAGGCGCTCCGGGGACTGGTGCCGTAGGGCTGGGGGAGGTTCTCCCGGTGGGAGGCGGTGGGCGGGAGACCCCAGCCTTTCCCGCCTGGATCTCTGGCTGGCTAGCTGCTCTCTTCGGTCCCCCCGCGGTTCCATTGGTTCACGGTGCGCCCCACTCTTCCAGACGAGCCGACGAGCCCCAGCATCGACCTGAAGGCAAAGCACATCCCTGCCTCCTCCGTCGTCTCCAGCGCCGTGAACTCTGCCCCCGCCATCACCGGCAGCCCTTCCTCACCCACCTTCACCTTCGCCATCAGTCGCCATTACTCCCAGGACTGCAGTAAGTACCCGCCCCTCCCGCTGGGGCAGGGACCCCCTCGGGGGGCAGCCGCTGACCAGGTCCCAGGCAGTGCTTCAGGGCGGAGAGCGGCCTGTGCCTGGAGCAGCCAGGAGCCAGCGTGCAGAACGAGCGAGAAGTAGGGAACGGCCCCAACTTCCAGAGGGGGGACGTCGTGAGGAGTCGGCGGAGGAAACTTGGGAAGGGAAACGCAGGGTGAACATGGGGGGAAGCCCTCCGGGTCCTGCTGGGCCATGGTGCAGCCTCCCCAGGGAAGGGGGTGGGATTCCCATCGCTTATGTCCCGGGAAATGAGGTGTATGCAAAGCACCTGACAGTCTGCTGTAGGGGATGATCCTGGCCCCGCTGAGGGGAGCTGGGCCAGACAAGCCAGGGAGGAAAGGGCCTTGCCCCAAGGGGACCCCTTGGCCTGATGGGGGGAAATGGGCTACATAAATCAAGCAGCAGGGAGTGAGTGTGTGCCAGCCACGAGGGGAGTTCTCAGGGCTCCAGTAAATCGCTCCCTGGAGGAGCCTGCTGCATGTCTGCAGATCATCTGTCCCCTCGCGCACCACCGCCCCCGGGTTCCTGCCCCTGCATCCCAACTGCCCCCCCTCCTGGCAGGAGACTGGAACCGGGGGGGGGCTTCCCTAAACAACGATCAGCCAGCTTCAGTGGGAGAACGGAGTCAGGCCCTGAGCGTCAAACCAGTGCGGCTCCATCTGGAGTGACTCCGGATTGACGCCTGTGTGAGTGAGAGGAAGCTCAGGCCCTGAGCGCGTTCATGGACCGAGCTGCAGGATGGCCAGGCTGTGCCGGCTCCGGTTCAGCACTCTGTGGCCAGCTCCTCTCCAGGCACCAGAGCTGCGGATCTTTCCCACGCCCAGCGTCGTTGGCCCTGGTGCGCTCTCCACATCCCAGCTCGGCTCATTACTAACCATCGGCCTGAACCACAAAGCAGGACAGGCGCAAAGCTATGGGCCCTGCTGGGGTCCCGCTGCATGCTGGGACATGGCGTACGTTGTCTCCCCGCATTCCTGGCTTGCTCGCACTTATTACAGACAGAGGAGCTGATGCACAGAGAGGTTAAATGACTTGCTTGAAGTCATACAGCAAAACCATGACAGAGCCGGGACCCCTGAGCCCTGACTGCCAATCCCTGAGCTCTAACCATTAGGCATGTTTCCTCCCAGAAATGGGACTAGAACCCAGGAGTCCTGATCCCCAGTCCTTAGTACCGTGACTAGCTAATCCATTCCCGAGACTGGTAAAGCACCGACTGCCTTGTGAACTGGCTCTTCTTGTGTTTACTGATTGCCCCTTTCTCTCTCCTTTCCCTTTCAGGCAGCATCAAAGCCAGCCGCCGATCCTCCTACCTCCTGGCCATAACAACGGAGCGCTCCAAGTCGTGTGACGATGGTCTGAACACATTTCGTGACGAGGGGAAGATCCTAAGGTAGGGGTGACCCCTTCCCCATCCCATTGCATGCCAGCCAAACAACGGCTTCTTCTCTTCTCGGGGTGGTCCCGACCTGGCCTCACAGCTGCACACGTCAGGGTGTGATCTCCAGCTGCTGTGCATTATAGGATCAGAGTTTTCAGTGCCTCCTGAAGTGCAACTATTGGCCAGGATTTGACGGGCCGGGAGTGTGACCCATGAGGGCAGGGGGTGGGTCACAGAGCTGGTCTGAGCCACGAAAGACGTGCGGCTAGATACTGTGTTTGTGAGAGAGCAGGAGTTCTCCACGGTACTCCATACCCCAGAATCCTTTGTGCTGTTTCACAACTAACTTTCCAAAGTTTATTGTTGTTCACTGCCTGGCCTGAGGCTTGTCCCTAGGGGAGCTGGTGGGGTATAGCGGTGGCCTTGCTCAGTTCACCCCCTCGCTGATTTCACGGTAGCCTCCCCACGCAGACAAAGCCCTAAGCCAGCCTTTGCATTCATGGCCTGAGAGATGTGAGAGGGCACTTCTGAAAATCAGGCCCTAAGTGACTCCGCCAAGGCCCTGCAGTGAGTAAGTAGCAGAGCTGGGATTAGCACTTGGGACCACGTACCCCTGTGTTCCTTTCGCTCGGCCATGCTGCCCGTCCTCAGCCAAAGCACGGTGTGTGACCGATGCAAACCACCCCCTCCGTTTGCTGCTGCCCTCGTGGGGGATTAACGCCCAGCTCACACACGAGTGTGGTTTGCATCGGTGGAGCCCAATTGCCCCTGTCCGCCATCAGAGCCAGAGCTCGAACCCAGGTCTCCTGAGCCCCAGGCCGGAGCAAGGAGCCAGTGACTCCTGCAGCCCCGAGAAGGGGCTGGAGCCAGTGGGGACTGTCCTTGAGACGCCCGGGTGCTCGGGAACGCCTCGGGCTCACGGGCGGCTGCTTTCCTTGCAGGAGGACGCCAAACCGGGTGCCGAGTCTGCGCATGCTGAGGAGTTTCTTCACGGACGGGGTAGGTGTTCGCAGGGAAGCAGGGGGCGGGGGTTCTGCCTGCTGCTGTAATGATGCCCACCAAGGCCGCGCCGGTACCATGCACCCCCAGCCGTGTGGATGCCACCCACCAGGGGCCTGGTTTGCGTGAGGGGAGCCAGAGCCTCATATTGGGTGGCTGTTCTGCTTGAGACGGCTGGGTGTTTCTTCCCCGCCCGCCACTGTGCTATCCCGAGTCCCTCCTGAGGCTCCGTCGGCCTCCGGCTAGCACAGTACAGGCCCAGCTTCTTGCACCCGGAGCCTCCAGTGGGAAACGGCAGGTTTGCGCATGGCCCCCGCACGGCCCAGAGGAATCAGTGAACAACAATTTGCACTGATCAGCTTAAGGCAGGTGACGCCCGGGATCAACTGGACGGGCTGGCGTAAAACGGGCCAAACAGCACTGGCGTCAGGGGAGCTCTCCCTGTTTCCGCCAGCAGAGAGTTTGGCCTGGTGGGTTCTGCCTCCTCTAACGCTCAGGGACGCAGGCTGGACCATTTCCCTGCACCCTGCAGAGCCCTTCGCTCCGGTGCACGTCGATTCCGCTCGGATATTGACACCCGCTCTGAGGCCTTAGAGGTGTAGGGCAGTGGGGCACCTGCTGCCCCACAGGCTCATGGTTGCATCAGTGGGAGCTGCATGGCCTTATCTCACCTGGGATTTCAGCCCCCAGGTTTGGCTCATTGGTTTAAACCCCTCATGTAGACGCAACTGACACCGGCGCAGCATGACTTGCATCAGCGCCAGCCTGACTTCAAGCCAGAGCGAGTCAGTTTTGCCACCCCCGTGGAAACTCTGTCTACACGAGGGATTTGCATTGCGGCGGCTGAAATCCTGGTGGAGACAAAACCTGAGAGTTGCCTGGTGTTTGTATAGTTATCACGGTGCCTGATCGAGCTGGGAGGCCTGGCTCTCCTCTCCCCAATGGGAAGCCACTGCCTGTAATGCCCCGTGGTGTGAATGAGGGGGTAGCGCGCCAGATCTGGAGAGGTGCCTCCCCAAGCACCATGCGTGCCTGCCTGCCTCCGGATGCCAGGCGTGAGTGCGGTACCCGGGAGGGCCGTACACCCATCTCTCCGTTTGCCTCTCCCCCTGCAGTCTCTGGACAGCCTCGGAATGTCTGAAGACACGAGATCAAAGAGGCACTCGACCTCCGACCTCTCGGACGTGACTTTCAGTGACGTGAGGAAAGAGGGCTGGCTCCACTACAAACAGATCCTCACCAAAAAGGGGAAGGTACGTGTTTACTGCGCAGGAAGCCCAGGCCAGGGGGGAAGTGCTGGGCATGCTTGTATGGAGGAGAAGAACCTCTCTTTGGAGACGTTTATGTGATGTGTCATGTGATCCCCTTCTCCGCCTGAAGATCTCAAAGCACTTAACAAACATGAATGAACCGAGCCTCCGAACACCCTTGTTAAGGCTGGTATTGTTACTGGAAACTGAGGCACCGAACGGTGAAGCGATTGGCTAGCGTCCCACAGGGAGACAGCAACAGAACTGAGAATAGAACCCAGGAGTCCTGCCTCCCAGTAGCTCCTGCTCTAACCACTAGGTCACACCCTCTCACACAGCAAGGAATAGAACCCAGGAGTCCTGCCTTCCAGGGGGTCCCAGGAGAGTCTCCCTTCTGCCAAGCACCCTGCCGGCCCATGTGCTAGCCCAGGAGTGGGAGAAGGAGAACAGCCGCTGGAATTTAACTGGGTGGAGGAAGTCTCATACCCACAAATGATGCCCCAGACACGGGCTTGTCCATGGGCCTACGCAAGGATCTCTGGCCAATCAGATTCCATTGATGGTACGTGCAGGAACTCTAGCCAATCAGGGGCCTTCCCTCAAGCCTGGGCAGGGAGCCCCATTCTTCTGGCAAGGGGCATTTGGCCTGGCCAGGAGGTGAGGGCAGCTGGGGGAGGGGGGAAGGGAGGGGGTTGGCCAGTGCAAGGAAGGCAGCGGTTTCCACCCCTGCCAGTCACGCCAATGCCAGCACCCTGCGGGCGGCAGACACCAGACATCTGCACTGTGCAGCAATCGCACCTGGCCAGGTCCACACACACTCCAAGGGCTGTGGTGGTGGGTCGGATGAGAGAGAGCAGGGCTGGGCTGGGGCGGGTGGGTGCCCCTGGGGAGACCCAATGGAGGGTGGGGCCATCCCGCTGTCTCCGAGCATCCCCCAGGGCACGGGGAATCCTGGCCCTTCTGAGTCAGACGCCAGCGGCTGCCGGACAAGCAGCTCTGCGGGGTCTCCCGGGGGCGAGGCTGGAGTAGGGGACGGGAGCAGGGCTTGAGAGAATCCCATCGGTGAAGGGGTTTGAATGGAGGCCTTCCCCTCTCACCACCCAAGAGGGGTTCACTTCCCAGGGCAGGGGGTTGGTGTGGGTGGATTGAGAACGAAACGCTGGGAGTAGATCATGCCTCGGAGGGGCAGGGGTCATGGGGTCATAGGGCAGTTCCAGGTCAGTGGGGGTGGGTTTGACCCTCTGATTGGGGAACATGATTTCCCTCATTACAATCAAAGGTCCCGGGTCAGCATTCCCTGTTGGAGCCCTGCAGGATCCCCGGCTGTCAGCCCCGGGTGGGCTTTGCTGTGATTACAATGGGGTGATTACTACCAGAAGGCAGCGGGGGTCCTTCTCTCTGGGCCCCCGGGTGAAATCCATGGGTCAGAGCTGGAAGGAACATGCTGGAAAAGGGGGGCTAGACGTTTTCAGTGTCTCGGCTCTGTGGGGATCTGCCGTCTGCACAGACGGGGCGTGAGCTGCTCTGGTCGAGTTTTGCCAGCAGTGCCCCTGGTCTGTGTCGGGGTCAAGGCTGGGTGGCATTTCCTGGGCTGAGGCTCTGGGCCTGGATTGAGGCTGGGGGCTTTGCCCCGAGTCCCTGCATCTCAGCTGGGTGTGCACGCCCAGGTTGCGTTGCCGTGGGCTTAGCCAACTGGCTCTGCGCCAGGCCTAAACTTTCTCTGTGTCTCGGCTATGTGGCAGCGCCTTGAACGGGTGCTCATGTCAATGCCAGGTGGCGCTGCCCCAAATCGAGGTGGGCAGCCGTACCCGGGGGGCTAGCCAAGGAGGAGACCGGCTCTCTCCCGGCCAGCGCTCATTGCCCATCCTCTCCCTCTGCAGAAAGTTGGCGGGGGCATCCGGCAGTGGAAGCGCGTCTTCGCCGTTCTCCGCGCACACTCCCTTTACCTGTGCAAGGACAGGCGGGAGGCCGTGACCTACGCGCCGCCCCAAGGTGAGGAGGAGCAGCCGATCAGCATCCGAGCGTGCCTGGTGGACATTTCCTACAGCGAGACCAAGAGGAAGCACGTCTTCCGGCTGACGACCGCTGACTTCTGTGAATATCTCTTTCAGGCAGAGGATCGGGACGACATGCTGGCCTGGATCAAAGTCGTCAGGGAGAACAGCAAGGCCGAGGGCGAGGTGAGAGCCAGCATGGGGCTCCTGGCTCCCTCCAGGCCCCTGGCTCTCCGCAGACGCCCCGGCACTAACCGCTTTGGTTCTCTCCAGCTGTTTGCCTTCTGCTGCTCCTTCCAGGGCAGGGCTGGTCCAAGCGTGGCCAGTGGAGATGGCCCGCAGTTGCCCTTTTCTGGATGGAGGACCAGCTTATAGGGACTTCAAGTCCCAGCATGCCATCTTGGTGCACTGGGACTCCAAGTCCCAGCATGCCATCTTGGAGCACTGGGACTCCAAGTCCCAGCATGCCATGCTTCTCCACTCAAGGAGACTGGCCTCTACTGCATGCTGGGAATTGTAGTCCACTGGAACCTCACCACTCCCTCAAAGAGGAGAATGGGTCAGCCTCCTTCATCTCATGCTGTTCGCTATTGCCTCTGGCTGGGCACAGTCCGGGGGGCCGTATGTGGCAGGTGCATCTCCATTCCCAGCATCCCTCTGCTCTCTCCCCCAATCCAGGGCTTGTGCCCCCTTCGTTACTCGGTATGAAGTCAATTCTCCCGGGGCCTGTCATCCTGCAGGGACTGATGAGAGGAGGGCTCAGCAGAGGACAGGGCCTGGGGTGCGGGTGAGAGCACCGCCCTCCAGCCCCCTCTTTGCACTCCAGAGATGGAGAGGCCAGGCCAGCCAGTTGGCTAAGCAGCCACATTCCCTGGCACTAAACTATCCCGGCCGTCCCCTGGTCCCCTGAGCAGCTGGCTAGCGTGTTCGTTAGCTTATGGTGACCCCTGCTGGTCTGCAGAGGGATAATTATCTGAATTTCCAGGCCTGAACTTCCCTCTATATAGGCCTTGCTATGTAATGCGGCCGCCTCTTCTAGCGCGGTGCCCGCAGGGCCCTCCGAGCAGCTGAGAGCACCAGGAGAGCTCCTTCCCTCCCCAGGGCACAGGCAGAAGGCTGGGAGCAGTTTGGGCTGTAGGGCAGGAGAAGGGAGACCCCTGCTGGTTTGGTGTGGGCTGCGCAATCCACCACTTCGGCTTTTGGAGGAAGTTAGCTGGGAGTTTCTTTTAATTGTGTGGAGAAATGAGCACAGCTTGGGGGCACTACAGGGATGGGAGCTGCCCTAAGATCTGGGGCGGGAGCTGCCCTAGATCCATGCCCCGCTCAGGGCACTAGAGGGGTGGGAGCTGCCCTAGATCCGTGCCCAGCTCAGGGCACTAGAGGGGTGGGAGCTGCCCTAGATCCATGCCCCGCTCAGGGCACTAGAGGGGTGGGAGCTGCCCTAGATCCGTGCCCAGCTCAGGGCACTAGAGGGGTGGGAGCTGCCCTAGATCCATGCCCAGCTCAGGGCACTAGAGGGGTGGGAGCTGCCCTAGATCCGTGCCCAGCTCAGGCTGCCCTGCGGGGGCTGAATTTCCTTAGGATTCCTGGAAGATCCTGCGGAGCGTGGAACGTGTAGTAGTTCTCTCCCCTGCCGTCGGCCAGCTCTGTATTCTCACTGGCAGGGCATAGCAGTGGTGGAGCTCCTGGGATTCAGAGCCTGCCCCACAGCCCAGCCCCACTGCGGGGTCAGTGGGGAGGCTGTGATGAAGCTGGGGATCTCTAGGCAGTAGGATGGGGAGTGGTGAGAGGCGGCTCCCGTGCTCTGGCCGAGCTGTGCGACCCCAGAGAGCCAGGAGCTAGCCCTAGGAGAGTGATGGGGGGGGTCCTGATGCCCCCCAGGGAATGATGCTGGTTTCCCCAGAGTTACGTGGGGCGCAGCTTCATCAGCCCCACTAACCAGCCGCCTTTGGGGAGCCTGATCTCCGGGAACCCCTGGAGCCTTCCCAAGCCAGGGAAGAGAGCCAAGTGCCACGTGCAGGGGATTGCTACGCTGGGCATCCCAGGCACTGCAGGGTGGGAGCGTGTGCCTGGCCCTGGAGGGCTGGTCGTGCCCCTTGGGCTGAGGTTTCGGTACCAAGGGGGATCTCTCTGCCTGTGCCTGGTACAGCGCTCCCAGACAGGCCTGTATTCCGGGACTTGGTCCTGGTGCTTTGGGTCCTGCCTGCCTGGCTGTGCCCATCAGAAGGATAATCAGAAGCAAAATTCTCCAGTCTGCCCTGCTAGGGCCAGTGAGCCCCCAGCTCCCGCACGAACCCCTCGCCCCAGCGGCCTTGCTGGGAAGGGGCTCGGCTGAAGGAAGAGACGGCGCTCGCTTGGGCTCTGGTGCCAGACATGAGGCTTATGCTCTCCCCTCCCTCTTGTCTTTGTGCCGCTGCAGGACCCTGGGTTTGCAAGCCAAGCGCTTATCAACAAGAAGCTAAATGACTACCGGAAAGTGAGGTAAGGGCTCTGCGCGCCGGCTGCCGACCTGCTGGGGAGGAGCCTTCCCCGGTGGTTAGCGCGTTAGTCTGCGACGTGGAAGACCTAGGTTCAGTTCCCTGCTCTGCCACAGACGCCCTGTGTGGCCTTGGGCAAGTCACTTAGCCTCTCGGTCCAAGGGGCTGATTGCCTGGGAGATGGGTGCCAGAGAAGTACCATGGACAGACAGCTAGCAAGCAAACCTTCCGGGGTGGGAGTGGCTGCATTGGGGGCGAATATCCAGAGGATTATGTGTGGTTAGAGAGACAGGACTCCTGGGTTCTCTGGGGCAATTCACGGAACACTCTGTGCCTGTAAAATTAGGTTCATGATACTGACCTGCCTCCTTAAACACTTTGGGCCCTCAGTGGAAAGGTGCAGCGTGTAAGTGCCTGAGCTCAGGCCCGGCCCGGCCCGAGGAGTGAATTTCTACCGAGTGATCTAGATAACTGGCTGCTGTCCCTCCCGGAGCAGCACTTCAGCTGGTTTCGTGTCAGGAAATTACCGAATTCAACCAAACCCGTGTTAAGCAGCGGGTGAATCCGGTCTGAGTGCACCTTGGCCAGGGGTTTACACTGGTGCAGCTAGATGGACTTGAACCCGAGTTGGGTTCAGCTAGTGGCACTTTTCATTAGGGACCAGGAAGAGCTGAGGGGCCTGCTAGGGAGGGGGGCGTACTGTTGTTAGCTGGGGATCTCTAAGCTGACAGTGTGAGTGGGGCAGAGAGGGCCAAGCCAGGAACCGGGAGAACCTGCATTGCGAGGGCTGGAGGAGGCGTCCTGGGATGCCCCTGTAACATTTGGGCAGCAGAGGGGTCTTGTCCTTGCTGCACTGGGTATGCCCAGGAACGGGGAGCCCACTGCAGTGTAAAGCACTATGGGTAAATGGCGGAGTTAATTCGCATAGCTACTCCCAGGATGCCTTGCACTGCAGTTTTGCCACCAAAGCCTGCCCCTCTGTGCAGGGGTGGCTGTGATCCAGGGTGTGCTCGGTGCGAGGGTGGGGGTGAGAGGCTAGGAGGCCGGGGGCCAAGAGGAGAGGATGAGCCCCCCATCTGCTCTCTCTGCAGCCCCTCGGGAACAAAACCAGACTCTTCCCCCAAGGGCTCGCGCGGGCTGGGGATCAAGGCCGAGCTCCTGAAGCAGACGGGGACGAGCGCCCCCCGCTCCCCAAGGCAGGACATGGCCGTGACTAAAGGTACACCCAGCGTGCATGGCTGCCCGGGGCTGTGCGTGTGTCGCGGTGCATTGGGCGTACATCCGGGGCGGTGTCTGCGTTGGGAGTCTGGGCCCTGTGGGTCGATGGGGATGTGTGGGGTGTGTGAGATTGTGGATCAACATCTACGTGCAGCGGTTAGGGGACCAGGTCAGACAACCCGGACTCAGGCGCCAGCAATTTGCAGTTGATCCACGATGTGGCTTCTCCTCCGGCACGTCCGGCCAGCCTGCTGCCCGCAGCGTGGCCAGTGCTCGGCTGAGATCAGCTCTGGGCCGAAGAACCACCCAGGGGAGCTGGGCCCAGCAAGAGGAGGTGATGCTGCTGGGCAGGGGGCCATGCTTGGAAGAGCTCACGGACACGGTCGTCTCCATGGGTTGAAGCTACGCACCGGCGACGGGTCCGTCGTCCAGGTGCGCTCCCGGATTCCTCATAACAGCATCCGCGAGCGACGCGTTCTGCCGTCTCCGCTTGGCTAGGAACCTCCGCCCACCCTGGTGGACGAAGCCCTGGCCTCAGTTTCCCCTGCCTTCGTCACCTTGCGGCTGGGTCACAGAAGTGCCATAGATGTGTGCGGGAAGCAGTCGGCACCTGGGAACACTGCCCGCCGGCACAGAACGCCGCAGCGCGTCTCCTCGGCACTGCAGGCTACCTTGAGCACATCTCGCTTGTCCTGCACTCCGGCCAAAGGCTTCCCCGGTGCCCCATGGCCGGGCTGAGGGGAGTGACACGATGGTCTGAAGCTCCAGGCTGAAGATCTCTGCTCCTCGGGCCACACACAACGCGCTGCAGGGACCAGCGCGGCTGCAGGGCAGACGGCCCTTTCTCGGGGCTGGTGCAAAGAGCTCCCCGGGAGCGAAGGACAGTCGTAAACCTCATCGCTTTCAGCTCCCAGTGCTCGCGCCTTGCTGGGACCGGCCTCCTCCAACCTAGACCCAGAGCAATGGGCCGAATTGTATTACCCCCCCCCAAACGCCCTCCGCTACACACACGCCTCCCTCGGGGAGCGCACACCACACGTGCAGACGTCTGTTCAGTGCACGGCCGGCCGGCGCTCGGCTCCTGCGGGGCGAGAACCTATCTGGAAGAGCCCAGATCAGCACGGGCGGTGGGTGTGCGTGTGAGGTTGTGTTAGGGGCTGAAAGGCTGGAGGGGGGGTGTGCACCTGCCTGTGGCGTGGGGGTGGTTGGGGGTCTTCATTCCCCCAGGGTCTCACTCTTCAGACACTGACCCGGAGTTTGGTTCTAGATGACGGTGCCCCCCAGAAAGCCCCTTGGGGCATCAACATCATGAAAAAGAACAAGAAATCTGCTCCGCGGGCCTTCGGCGTCAGGCTGGAGGACTGCCAGCCCGCCCCAGCCAACAAGGTAGGTCCCAGCCTGCATCTGCCCCCTCTGAGCCCCCCGCCCGGGCGGAACGAGGGCCCGGCGGCGCCACCCGCCCTGAGCACATCTACCCAGCTGCGCCACCCTGCTCTGCCCACGGGGCTGCTCTCGGGACCGTCCACCCCTGGCCTAGGAATCGACTCCTCCCCCTTGCCTGCTGCCCGCTGGCTGAGCAGGGAGGGGGTCCGTGCTGAGGAGGGCTGACCAGCAGGGCCCCTCTGCGGCGTTCAGGAGGGGAGGGCCCGGGGACGGCTGTCGTTGCTGGGATCCCTGAGTGGGGAGGGCTCAGCCAGTGGCAGCCCCTGTGCCCTTTGCGGGGGCTCTGCCCCCCCCCAGCCATTCTTTTGTTCTCCTCTGTGTCCCCTCCCAGTCTGGGCTCGAGGCCCAGCTGAGCTGGGGCCTAAACCGTGCTGCCGTCCTCTCTCCTTGCCCGGCTTTACTGCCAGGGCAACGGTGGGGCTCCGCTGCCTTCGCTGCATCTTGCCTGGGGGTGCGCTGGCAGCTGCCCCTCCAGCTGTGCCCCCTCTGATCCCCCCATCTCCTTAACATCTAGCAGCTGCCACTCCAGCTGTGCCCTCTCTGATCCCCCCACCTCCTTAACATCTGGCAGCTGCCACTCCAGCTGTGCCCTCTCTGATCCCCCCACCTCCTTAACATCTGGCAGC